CAATATACATGTATAAAATATAATTCAATCAATATATAATAAAATGACTAACTTTTTATTTGCAATCATATCCATAGCTTGGTACACCAAGGAATATAAATACTCTACTTTACGGCTGTATATACATGTGGAGCTCTGGATCAATAATGCTGCCTCAGCAAAGTTCATGGTAGTGGCACCACCATCAAATGTTATTCTTACATCTTCCAACTGAAAACCAAAACAGCCATTACTGAGTGAAAGCATTTACATTATTGAAAAATAAAATGGGCAGAATAGGATAAATTGTAGTGCACTCAATCAATACAAAAAAAAAGATCTAATTTTTCAAACTTCCAAAATGTCAAGTTAACGCCCAGTTAATATCTTGTAATCTGTGATTTACAACACAGGTGCTGGGATTGATTAGTTGCTAATCGCAACAACCGGTATTTTCGAAACCTATTGCATTTGTATATTTTTGTTTATATATATTTTGTGTGTTGCTAAGACTTACTTTTTTTGTTTTGTATATGTTAAGTAAAACATTATAAAATATATATTTCCTAGTATTCTTTTCTAAGTACAAGCACTTATGCATCTTAAAAATATAGTTCACCAAATTTAAATGTGCATGTAGGGCTACATATGTCAAAGTTCAATTAATATTGAATCAAAAAATTACACAGCATTCAAGATATGTAGATCTCCATATGCCTTTAGTGATGCATTTTTAAGAGAGCAACTTAGCATTTCTAAAGTCCAAAATTGCCTTGGCATCACAGAGAAAATTAAAAAGCTTAGACAAATTTCCTTTCAGGTTTTGATGTCTATGTGAACTTCAAGCCTCGATATAGTAATCTGACTGTGTGCATGTAGGGTGTAACAATGTAAAGTAACTAACCTCAGTGAGATATTCTTCTAACCGTGATGCAACATCTACTTCCCAGTTCTGTGCTAAATCACGAATTGGCTGAATTAAACTGGATACAGGCATTTTGAATTTCTTTCTTTTAATAAACTTGTAATAATTAAAAAACTCCTGTAAAAAAGAGCAATGAAATTATTAATTATTATTATTATTATGGTGAATACATTTACCAGAGATTCAGGTAGTGTGCTATTGTTTTGTCATTATTGTGTGGTAACAGGACAAAAATGGAATTGTGCACAATATAAGATAAGAATATAAGAATATTATGTTGTTTTTAAATGTGAATAAAGAAGAAGCTATTTAAAAAAAAAGAGAAATTGTGAGGTAACAAGTATTTAATACTAAAATCGACATCAAATAAAATGGCCAATTAGCAATAACAAGTTCAATATCAAAACCAGACAATTTTGTGAAGACATTGTCATCTGCTTTGCACGCTAAAGCATGCTTGTTGTTACGTCAATTTATTCAAGCAAATGGGAGTATGTCTAGAGTGTGAGCACAGAAAAATGAATTTACTTTTTGTAGTGAGTAGTACATGTACATTATTTGTGATCTGAGATCGACAAAAGACCGACTTAACTTGTATTTCCTCAGCAGTGAGTGGTCTGAAAATGTTACAGTTAATTGAGTTTGGAGACACAGTTTGCATAAACAAATGAAAGTAGTCCTGTTCTCATGTGTTTTTTATACATACTGTTAAATACTTAATTTTAGCTGGAATTAATTTTCCTGAAATGACATTTTTGGTGCTTTGTGTGGAATTTATTTTCACTGATAATTGACAAGTTGAATGAAAAATATAGGAAAAAAAGGTACATTTGCTGGATTTAATTTTCACTGAATAATTACTTCTACGAAAATTAATTCTAAGTGAAAATAAAGTATTCTACAGTACATTAAAATCAGTGTTGTTTTTTTCTTCTAGGACGGCTAACACCCATCAGGTTTCCAGCCATTTTTGCTCACTATGCCTCTAAGTTTTGTTTGGCTTCAAAGTATTCATCAAATCACCGGCCTCCCACAGCATTTAAAAAATAACTATTCTACAAACAAGACAGTTGCCAATAACATCTACATTGTCTTGGCCTTGAACTATGCTATGCCAGTGTGTGTACATATTGTCTCTTCCAGATCACTGTCGTGGATCGAAGTCTGTGCCAGAGTGCATAGGGGTGCATAGATGTACATAGTTGTATCATTACCCCAGTATTTTAAAATACAATACTAGTAATATTTGATGAATTAAAAATAGTTTCTTTTTTGGTTTGTTATATGAGATTGTAAAACAAATTTCCAGAAAGACTATTTAATTTATGCAGATTCAGGGGCCAGTGACTGTGAAAGTGCTTTTTAGACAAACAAGAACAGCAATTGCCCCAACCACAGTTACTAGTAATCGTGCCCCAACAGACAAGAGGAATCATTTTTTAGCGCACATAATTATGGTGTCTTCAAGATGTGTTAGGAGTTCCAGATTGGCTACAAAATATCATGATGCAACTGCTTGAGCCAGATTAGCATACTGATATTGGCTTCCATCTTGCTCTAATTTTACAACTGGTTCGTATTTAATCACAGTCATAGTTTTGGCTTTGGTGAGAGTTTAATAAACATACAATCCATTGGTGATAGTTTCTGTTGCATGCTATATGAAAATGGTTAAATTTTATTTGTGACGTTATTTTGGCGTCGCACATTTGTTTTACGCAAATCTATGGAAGTAACCATAGCTCTTCTGTGTCGATACAATTCTAATATCTGAAAATAACAAATTTAAATACATCAGAAACGACTAAAATACTGAATATCATAAAGACTAAAGACCGACACAAGAAGAGCTATAGACCCACAGCTAGCAGATATACATTCAATGTATTTATCTGCCTCTGGCAAATAAACAAATACACATGTACAGTATAACATTAAGTGCATATATTACATGCATTTCAGTGATAATTATTAAAAATATAATATTCCCTTGCAAATCGCTCATGACTTTAATTATACGAAGGGCCAAAGATCACTTGATTACCCATGTGTATTCCAGGGACCAGGGTTTACGTTTTGTTGTTTTTATGTCAATTTTACTATCTACTAGTATTGCCCGGTAGATACTATATATTACCGGGGTATGTTATCTTATATCATGAAATCAGCCATGTATGTATGGGGGTCTAAAAACTAACTCTGCGACGCGATTGTGCGACTCGTCGAATGTCAATTATTGCACTCTGCGACAGGATCGCAGTGTCACTCTGCGAAGAGCATGATTCCTATTGGTTGGTGGGTCGAACAGCGCGAATTCCAATGGTCGATGTTCACTGCATGATTAAGTTTTAAATGGTAAAAATGCTATGGTAAAAAAAAAATGTGTAAACACTATGTACCGGCGACATGCCGCACTGTTCGGTGATCGGCAAGCACATGGAAGACAAATTGTGGGAGCAAACAAATGACACATGGTTTACGGTGATTAGACACATCACACCGCTGGCTAGAAAAATTAAATAATGTAACATGCACGTTGGTTTTGACTGCGTATTTACGGTGTAACGTTATCGCCATCTTGGAGTTGTAAGGCTTCGTCCTGACATGGAAGGTATCCGTTAGTACCTTCCATGGTCCTGACGACTATGCTCATTAGCATAGGCGGCAGCTTCAAAGCCAGTGGAACGCGAAGTACTTTTCACGCGTTCTGCAACGAAAGTTGTACGTCAGCTTTGACTTTGTTGAGTGCATCAGGGAAATGAAATACTTTGTAATAGTTGTGAAAACCAAACAAAAACGGCGTTGGTTTGTGGTATGAATGGAATTATTTTTGTATCATAATTTTCGAAGTCAGTATTACTGAAAATTGTGGTTTATTTTTTTTAAATGAACGCCAAATTTCGGTGGTCCATATTGATCTTAAGGTAGCGGGAAGGGAATTTTTTTTTTTATCTTGATTTTTCAATAATTGATAAAACGGTTACTTTGTACCTTGATTCATCATCTCAGCTTTTCGAAATTTCGGAAAGACCAGTGCTCAAACGCTAACACTACTACCGTTTCGTTAATATTTGCATAATGTTTCTAACATGTACATATATGTATACTACCGGTAATACTCTGTTGTTGACGATTCTGATAGAACGGATGACAAGCTTCCTGTCGCAAACAATGCATATTAATCTAACGTCCATTGTCAGCATTATTATCAGTCAAGACTTCGTCTGAGAAATCGTTTTATTTTAATAACACCATCTTACTAACGCAATGATGATGAAAAGAAAGACAGTAAAGACGCCAAAGACAGACGAGGCAAAGAAAAATCTGCAACTCTGGGTCATATTTACTAATTTAGACTTGCCTGCAGCCTATTGTGATTCGATCCGATATAAAATTACAGGACTTTCGCGTTCACCCCTCGTTTACGCAATTTATATTTATTTTTCAAGAATTTTTCATCTAGGTCATATTATGACCAACCTCGCGAGTGGTTCGAAAGGGACGATTAGGCTGAAATATTCGCATCAACGCGAAAGAGTTTCAACTACTTAACCAATGACGACACCGATACGTGAGACCGTTGTGGGTCGATGATCAGACGAGGAAGTGAGTACAGGATATCTGTTGCTCGTCGACATCGGCCAAATAAACAAAGCCGTCCTTCCGTTTATGCAGAGAGCATGCACCCATCTAATTTTTCGTTGACACTGCCGTTTTAGTTTTCTATCTTCAGCAGTAGTTTCAATCTATTCACATAGCTTTACGTTTTTGTTCTCTTATTATTCTTAATAAAACGATATTGATTGCCCAGAAACAGTTTGACCCCTACACACTTTATTTGGGAATTCAAAGTGATGAATATAGTCATAACAAATTATAGTTGCTAATGAGAAAAAAAATAACATAACATCGTGTGAAACGTACTTCGCGCTCTACTCGCTTTAAAGCTGCCGCCTATGCTAATGAGCATTGTTGCGGACGAAGCCTTACAACTTCAAGACGGCGTTAATGTTACCAGCTCCCTGATGTTACACCATAATAAGGCAGCCAACACCAACGTGCATGTGTTTTGTAACTCCTTTCATTCCCTCTGGAGGATGTCATGGGAGGATGTTATACAGTAAAACCTGTCAAAACCGACCATGACTGGGACTGGGATCTATGGTCGGTTTTCAGAGGGAGTCGGTTTATTCAGGGTGGGCATAACTTCGATTGAAACAACAATTACATGTGCTGTAAACACGGGACAAATGAAAGACACCGGAGTTTGCCTCCGGTGATTATACATGTATTTACATTTATTGTATTGTTTCAATAAATAAATTTACCAAACAAGACAAGAATATTATGGTATGTACATGAAATCAATAAACATTAAAATAACTGTTGGAACAGACCGGGTAAGTATCGCGTATCGTAACTGAAGGCGTCCATTTTGAATGACATCACAACGTAAGTTCACGTGAGCTACATGTAATTATTATAATTTATGCAGACAGTTGATTTTGCTGTTAAGTCAATGAATCAAATTACGATGTAAAAAAATCATCAAGTTTTCACCGCTTTAAAGAACATCTTTTTTCAACGATTTTGTTCGTTCGAATTATGAAATTTTGGATATCTGTCAAGTAGCTGGAGTCTTTGTTTATTGCGAAGTTTTGTAATCTTGTCAACATGTCTAGCACATCGCCATGCGTCAAGTCACGGTCATCGTGGGGGTCAATAATTTGACTGTCGTTGTCATCGTTGTCTGTAGATTCATGGTTTTCTTTGTCTGCAATAAAATTCTCAACAATCTGTTGCTCCCACTCGCCGTCATACATTGCTTCAGGGCCGATCAATGCGGTCGGTGTTCGGAGTAGACAGTGGTCGGATTTCACAGGTTGTTTTAACATAGGCATCTATGGAGAAATTTCGGGACTACATAAATCGGTCGGTTCTGACAGTAGGTCGGTTTATCCAGGAGTCGGTTTTGACAGGTTTTACTGTATATGTTAATTAATCGATGTTAAATACTTGCTGATTACCGAACCGTGCGGCGCGGCATGTCGTCGGTAAATACTTGTTTACCGTAGTTCGCGAGCAGTCGGCGAAATAACCATTTAAAACTAAACATTTCTATAAGGCATGCTGTGTACCCTTACATCGATCGACCATTGAGATTCGCGCTTTTCGACCAACCAACCAATGGGAATCGTGCTCTTCGCAGAGTGACACTGCGATCCTGTCGCAGAGTGCAATAATCGACATTCGGCGAGTCGCACAATCGCGTCGCAGAGTTAGTTTTTAGACCCCCATACATACCTCGATCAGCGGACCAATCGATAGTGGAAATTACATAAAAGCCAAAAAAACGTCACCCTTGGATAAACGCGACTATGGTACACGGTATACCAAATTCAATACAATCGGATCATATACATGACTGTTTGATATTAAATCTTTCCTCCAAAAAATGACAACAAACCTATATACGGTCGATTATTTATATTTGACTCATTGTCGCTGTCGCTCACTGATGAATTTCCAAAGATCGGTGAAATGATTGTTAATATGTACCTTACTAATACAGCCGATTTTGAATAAATATAACAGAATGTCGTCATACGAACATGACTTACCCCTAAATCCTACTCCCACTGATCAAACTCTAACCATTATTATTATTGTCGTAACACTCTGGATAAACACACGAACAAATTCGTACGTCCCGCCATTACAAAATAAAATAGTTCCGGCAACTGATTTGTAACAACAAACTTGATTGGATGATCGTCAGAGAAGCTTACCACGTCAACTAATAGACTGTGTTGTTGTGGAAGAAAATTGTAAACAATGTGTGAAAATATTCAATCGCACATCCGCATTTTGAAAACTGTTTGTTCACTTTACATTATTTAGTCAGAATTTTAATTAATTCTGTTATTTTCAGGGAAAGATAACGTTAAATATTTGATAACATTTTGTTAGATACTTCTCTTGTTTAACCTTACGAGTTTATTTTTCTGACCCCTGATGTCGGTGTATTAATAATGAGGTGTTACAAGGCACTAAAGTTCACGCGTGGCATTTGTTTATAGACTACATTGTGTATATCATATGAGTCTAAATGTTTTCAATATTTGACATAATTTGAAACACAACAAACGGTCAAACATGGCGCAAATAAATATGGTTCGGGATTATTATTTGTGGTGCATGTCGGTGGTGTACTTATTTGCTTTTGGGTCACTCTACAATCAAGTACCAGGTGAGTGTCGATTAATCAATTATTGATAAGTTTATAATTATAAATATTCTATTATGATTTAAATTACGTTAAGTAACGCACGTAGACAGAGTGATATGTCGAGTAATCACACAGGGGTAGGATGGGATGGGATAGGATGTAATTGTACGTACAATTGGTGAAATCCAACAAACTCTAAATTGAGAAAGTATTTCCTGCATACATTGAAATATAATTTTCTGATTATTTATTGATTTATTCATAATTTATTTAATTAAAAAAATAATTACGCTGAAAGTTCGTTAGAATTTTGAAGCATCAATCAAGGCTTTTTAAGTTCTTCGAAATACTTTCATGCACTGCTGTTCTGATGTACAATATTCTCACTCTAATAAAAAAAAAATAGCTATTAGATATGTATCAGGCAATAAAAAGGTTATTGCAGGAAAAAAAATGAGAATACTGTAACATTTTGCAGGAGTGAACAGTAAATTGTTGTCTCTGCAAATGTTTTGAAAGGGTGCGGTGGTGGTCTTCCTGCATGTAAAAAATTCATGTAAACAAACAATGTGTGTCCCCATTTATCGAACATGACATGACCACAGTCTTTTGAATTATCATATTGCAACAGTTTGCAATTGCCACTTTTTTTTTCATTTTAGGTTTATATGGTAAAAATGGTATTTTACCAGCTCATCTAGTACTAAAACAAGATGGAAAGTCAGTGGAAGAAGCTTTTGTTGACAGACCCACTTTACTGTGGTTTATGCCAAGACTTGGACTTGATGTGGAACATGCCATTGACATGATATGCATACTTGGCATTTTGATATCATTTATATGTATGCTAGTAAAAATATTCAGAGATACTATCAATTTTGCGTTGCTGTGGTTTTTGTATTTTTCTGTATATCAGGTAAGAAACTATTTGTTAAAAATTATATATAGCATGACCTATCTCAACATTGTTGTACATCTTCAGTTCACTGGTGAATTCAGTTCTGTTGATTATACATGTACTTGTGCCATTCATCAAACAAAGTACAATGCAATAAGAATGGGCTCAGAAAAACAGACTTAATGGGGAGGCCAAAGCCTCTTTGATTCATTCGTTTATGGTTGCAAATTTTAAGGGAACTTTGTTTAATGTCTACAGGTACTTTGTCAATCTGATTAAAATCTAATCTAATTTAATTTTATATATTTTATTTTTACTATATATTTTCATTATTTTGTAATTGTTTTTATTATTATTATGTAATACAATGTATTACTTCATCTATCGCCACATATATTGTGGGCCTTCACGATTACCAAAACTGCAGCAAATTAGTAATTAATATTATATTATAGCATTATCAATACCAGTGGATTTTATGACGTCATTGCAGCAGATTATTCGCGATAATGTATTACATTATTGAGCATCAAGGCCCTGTCCCATGGATATGAATACAATGTTATTTTCGAAAACGAATAAAGAAGAAACTATTGAAAAAGAAGAGAAATTGTTGGGTAACAAGTATTTAATACCAAAAACAGCATCAAATAAAACGGTCCATAAGCAATAACGGCGGATTCCAATATCGAAATCAGACAATATTGTGAGGGAATTGTCATCTGCTCTGTACGCTAACGCGCGTTCGGTCGAAGCCTTCCATCTAGTATGTGCGCTTCTAGACTGATGCCGCTATCCTTGTGGCCTCCTGATTAGTTTGCCCTATCGTGTTGATGAAGTTAGGTTAATCGAGGATAATTTATCCAAGCAAATGCGATAAACGAAATGGGGGTACAATGTATGTCTACCAGTACAGAGAGATGAATTTGTTCTGTTTTTGTAGTGAGTAATACTACAAAATTTGCGAAACGAGATCGACGAAAGACCGATGTGACTTGTATTTCCTCAGCGTTGACTCCCGGTAAATGTAACACTCCGGGGACAGTTTGCATAAATAAATGAAAGTATCCGTGTTCTTAGGTGTGTAACTGTTTATTTATACAGTGAGATTAAAATCACTGTTTGTTCTCTTTCTGGAATGGCTAACACCCACTAGCTTTCCGGTCATGTTCGTTCGCCTGCTTCAAAGTATTCGTCAAATCCCCGCCCTAAAATAACTATTACACAGAAAGGACAGTTGCCAATAATATCTACCTTGATGGTTTGAAAACACTAGTGGGATGGGGTAATGATGCAACTACGTACATGTACCCCGGATGCGCACCCCTACGCACATTTGATCCAGCTGGACCACGGCGGCGATCCAGCGTAGCATAGTGCAATGCCGCGGTGGACACCGATACGGCGTACCAGTCACGGCGTGCCGTTCGCTCGGGCGATCACTGTAATGCTACTCCACACTACACATCAGTCACTCATTCACTCGCAATGTGAATGAGTTCAATACAATAATATTTGATGGATTAAAACTAGTTTCTTTCTTAGTTGCCCATGGAACTATAGGTTTATAGTTCCATGGTTTGCCATATGAGATTGTGGAAACAATTTCCAGAAAGACATTTTAAATTATTCAGATTCACGGGCCAGTGACTGTGAAATTATTCCGTTCACTGTAGATTTTTCTCCAATTTTTTCCACTTTTTAGAGGCAGCAAATCCACTGGTAATGAGAACGCTACAAAATAATAACAACAATGAACTCCTCGACAACCCATAATGGACTCAAGCACACTTTGTGGGTGGGTCGTTCATTATTGTTTGAGTAATTAAAATAAAATAAATAAAAGAAAATGTGCAATAAAAATAATCATTTATAAACATATATAAAAAAAATAAAGCCAAAATTAATTCAAAATCAGATTGATACTTTGTTTGACAGGACCAAGTTGATAGTAGTGGGATAGTGTATATAATTGCCACAATACCAATATAATTGGAAATGTCACAAAGCCCTGTCTCATAATTCACTACATATGAACAGTCAGTCAGCATTTGTAATTTTAACAAAATAAAGACAGGAAAGAAAAGAACATATACATCTTTACATTTGTTTTTCAGTGTGTAATAATTGTGATAATTTATTTTTAGTGTTCTCAATGGAAAATGTTGTGACATACATGTATGTGACTCTCTTAAGTCATCTATGAAATCTTAAATATAATATAATACAATATATACAGTAGTAGAATTGAGTTTGATATTATTGCAATTCAATGTTAATGATGTTTTAGGTTGGCCAAACATTTCTGTGGTTTCAATGGGATATTCTATTACTTGAAGTTGGATTCTTGACTATACTGGTAGCTCCACTGAATCTATTGAAGTGGAAAGATGTACGTCATTATGAGCATGACGCTATAACTATGTGGTTGCTGAAATGGATGTTATTTAGATTGATGTTTGCATCAGGAATAGTCAAACTGACTAGTCAATGTGAGACATGGTGGGGACTCACTGCATTAACATATCATTATGAAACACAGGTTTGTATTAAAAGCCATTATTTATCATAGTGCTTCTAGATTATTATGTAATGTGGAAGTAATGAGTACACAAAAAAATGTAGCATTTATTGCATAAATTGTTACCACATGTGTATTACGTTATTTTAGATTTTCTGTTGAATTTAATACAAAGAGTTAAAACAGCACATATTTAATTATGTACATTTCTTCCAACATATAGCACCGAGAACACAGTTTTCAGTCTTTGTAGAAATCAGTTTAGTAGCACCTTTTGTGGAAACGCCCTCTGTGTACATTTTTATGAAAATCTGACTAATGGATCTGCCATTACTTGTGTCAAAAACATTGTTTGGTACTATTAGACATATTTATGGTGTGAATATGCTAGATTTTCAGGAAATAATTGAGAATTCAGAAGATCCTTTTCTTACTGCAATTGCAAAGACCGTGCACATCAAGACACTGTCAACAATTAATTAATTAATTTTCACTGAAAAATATTTTTTGGCTGTTTTGTATGAAGTTTATATTCTCTAATTTTTGATGACTTAAATGTGATGTATAGGAAAAAATTATTTTCACTGTGTACTTCCTTCAGCAAAAAATGTGAATATAAATTTGAAATGAAAAACCCCAAATGAAGCTTTAGAAATGATGTCAGTGTACAGCTTTGATGTGAAAACTTCAAAAAATGCAAATTGTTTTTATCGAAAGTCACTGACCTACTAATACATTTAATCATAATTGTTAAATATCTAAGAGTTAAGATTTCAGTTCAAAACCAGCATGTATTCAGATATATATCATTGTGTGCTGATGTCAAACTGTCCTCATAATGACCCACTCATAACACACCATAAATATAATTATATCAAAATGTTTTATTTCTAATTTTGTTCTTATCCAGTTTTAGTAATAGTACTCATGATAAAATAACTGATATTTTGTATTATATTTTACAGTGTATACCAACACCATTGGCATGGTATGCTCACCATTTACCAGTCTGGTTTCAGAAACTCAGTGTAGTTTTCACATATGTAATCGAGATAGCTTTACCATTCTTATTCTTCTCTCCAATAAGAACAATGAGAATATTTGCTGGTCTTTCCCAGGTAAGCTGTTTAATATACATGTAAAATACCCCTAAGGAGTCCCTATGATAGTTTGATAACATCTTTCTTATGATATACTGGTGAATTCAGGCATAATTCATATATCATCTTAGTTGTCTCAAAAATGCATCTAAAACAATTTTTTTTTCAATTCAGGTTTTCTTGATGTTATTAATTTTGTTGACTGGTAATTATAACTTCTTCAATTTGTTGACTGCTGTGCTTTGTCTGTCAACACTAGATGACAATTTTTTTCAAAAGAAGAAAGGTGAGTATACTGGAAAAAAATTATTTCTAATTGCAGATAGAACTGGCATCAAAATTATAATCAAATAATCCTTGCTTATAATTGGCTGACATTGTATATGCTGTCACTGGTTACCAGTACCGGTACTAACTAACTTCATCACAAATTCACAAAATAGTTCCATTTATAGTCTGAACAAAAATAGCCAAATTGTTTGAGTAAAAATATATAAGAAATAAGCAATTTTTTTCTCTAAAATCTCTGTGACATCTTGTCTGTTATGTTTTACATAAGCTGATGGTTAATGACCACCATATAGACCAAATTAACTAAGTATTTTACTCACATTATAATAATTATTATTATTATACATCTGTCACCGTAACACCATCGGTTACAGCGTGCCGTAATTTTGCGGTATTGTCATCCTACCATATTAGGAAATGCAAATTCCAGATATGGAACGATTACACGTGTAAGTGTCTTCTAATAATAATAAAAAACTAACATGGCTGCCCTAGGCTTTGACCAGACCCACACAAAGAATTTCGCTAAAATTTATCTGTTCTAATTGTTTTGGATTTCGGCATTCCCATGATGTATTCCTGGGAGGAAAAGATGTATAATAATAAGGTTATTACGAGGATACTGTAAAGTATGTACTCGGACAATATGCAGTCACATCAACCTTCGTTGCGTGTTGGTCGATACACTCGCTGTACTGTCTTTGTGCATACTTTTCAGTATCCTCGTAATAACCTCATAATATCAAATGATATTATTTTCTCTGTTGTTCCTGTAGAGTCCAGAAACAATCATAGTACATTCCAAATCATACTGCAAGTGGTAATTAAAATTATAGAAGTGCTGGTCTATGGAGGATTAATATATTGGACCATTAAATTATTTTCTTTAAAACTTGATACAAAAAATTATGGCATAAAATCTAGTACAGGTATGTAGTTTTCTTTTATTTCCTTAGCTCACATTCTCAGTTATTTTCAATATACCGTATTACCCCGGGCACACGCCCAGGGGCCTGAACATACAAAAACTGGAAAAATTGGGGGTGGGCGCTTACCCGAGGACCACCCCAAAAAAATTTTTAAAAAGTTGTTTTTGTGATCGTGTGATAAGGTCAAATAAAGGAATGCTTTCATACACTTTGTACACATACTTATTTCTTCAATTTATGCGAGGTTTCAATAAACATGAGCACTCGGTCAAGAACTGTGGGAACAGGGTCGAATTTCAAGAATAAAACTTGTTTTATGTCAGCGAATGAAGTTGTGTTACTCACTGAAATTGGCTACAAAGTATGGTAAGTATTGTAATCAATGCATGGTTACTTTTTTAGTAACCATTATCAGTGCAAGTCGAAACGGCCGGGAAAAACTACCACTTGTAATCCAAGATGGCGATGACCTCATTAGCATAATTTTGTTCACGCACGTATTGATACATCGCATCATAATTACTGAAGAATAGCACACAGGATTATGAAACAAATGAACCTTTTATTACTGATGTGAAATGTTTACAAACTGTTGTGAATACATAAAAATATCCAAATGGCGATACATAAAAAACAGACTGAAAATAAACTGTGGTCGACCTCATTAACATGATTTATTCACGCACCCACACACATGACAACATTATGATGCAACAAGTTCCCATTATCGGCATGCCTCCTTATGGTTATCGTAATGGACTTGAGATCGGCAAAATGATTTTTCTTCAACGACAACAAAATAATTCACATGACCGTAATGCCATAGCTGTGATGAAGGATGGAAAGAAAGTAGCAAGTTTACAACGTGATGTCTCAAAAGTCAGCGAAGTGCTATGTTTTGAAACCAAAGCTGAGTGCTTCAAACCACTCACCAAGGTATGGATTATTGCAATATTGGATTCATCGTGAATAAAGAAAAAGCAGAACGTGTGTGCCACATGCTGCATGGTTCATCTTACGTCGTTAAGTTCCACTGAGTTTTTACGTAAAAACACAAACAAACCGAGGATGTCCCCAACATGTAACTTTTGTGAAAACAGGGGGTGGGCGCTTGCCCAGGGAGGGCCCGTGCCCGGGGAAATACGGTCATGCTTTTATTCCAGTTACTAAAATATCACAGTCATCTGCACAGAGAAAAAGAAATCATATAAGGAGAATGAATCTGTATTTATACAGACCCCTCACCAAGGTATGGATTATTGCAATATTGGATTCATCGTGAATAAAGAAAAAGCAGAACGTGTGTGCCACATGCTGCATGGTTCATCTTACGTCGTTAAGTTCCACTGAGTTTTTACGTAAAAACACAAACAAAACGGCCCTTTTCAGGGCCACCACACACTCCAAAAAGAGAACTACCGTAACAAACACACTATTTAAATAAATCAAATTCGTTCGTTTTTGACAAATAAAACTTTATTGTTGACCCCGTTCTTGGCTAAAAATCACCCTGGGCGTTTAACCGAGGATGTCCCCAACATGTAACTTTTGTGAAAACAGGGGGTGGGCGCTTGCCCAGCGGAGGGGCCCGTGCCCGGGGAAATACGGTCATGCTTTTATTCCAGTTACTAAAATATCACAGTCATCTGCACAGAGAAAAAGAAATCATATAAGGAGAATGAATCTGTATTTATATGGTAAACAAAAACACACTCATTTGGTAGAAAAAAGCAGCAACTTTGTTTGAAAATTAAGTGAATGAAACATTTTTTTTCTCCCATCTTCCTTCTAGTGGTTAACCCCTCATTCCATTGGACGTTATTTATCAGCAGTAAACATCCATGATTCCTGGACAGCTTTGTTTATTCACAACAATTTCATGCAAAATACTGTATTCTTCTTCTTTTAGTTATTTATGTGAATTGTTTTGTCAAATGTAATTTTAAAATCGAGAAACTATTATAATAATTTTACAAATTCCACCACGTATTGGCAACTGGTGAACACATATACAGGGGTAGATTATGCCATAACATGGATTTATAAGATTAGGGTACGCAAGGATGTGACATGCGATGAAGATCATACGTGATTAAAGAAGTCATGCAAATTGCGAAATGATTTCTAGAAATCATAATGTAAATAGGTGATTTTTTGTTCAACTGCAAGATCTCGTGAGTTGCATGAAAGATGCGCGCCGAACGTCTGCCGCAAAAATCGAATGATTTGATTTTGAACTTGAATTTTTTTATTTCGTAGCTCACATCGAAAGGTCGATCTTTGACAGGGGAATATTGGGTTTGAATACCCTTATTTCATTGAAATTCACCATCATCAAATGTGGACAGCACATTATTAAGCATAAAAATATCCCCAGAAATACTTTCACATTTGTCGAATCCCACGTGACGTTTTTCATCACTACGATGCTATGACCTTTGTTTGTCCTGTTTTTTCGTTCGATTTCACACATAACACGGGATCTCGCAATGGACGGGAAATGGTCTTTTAGTTGGTTTGTGAAAGAGCTGGTTAAAGTTCAGTCTGTTTTTGACTCCCGTGTGCGAAGCACAAAAAGGGAGTCTTTGCAGTTAGTGTGTCTGTATGTGTGTATGTGTGTATGTGTGTGTGTGTGTGTATGTGTGTCCGTCTGTTCCACTGATATCTCAAGAACCATACATCAGTTTTTGATGAAACTTGGTGCATAGATGCTCTGGGCCAATGCGCAGATTTGATTAGTTTTGGTAAAAATCCATGCATATTAATTACCTAATTTGCATGATAATTAGCTGATTTTTGGCTGTTTCATGACTGTTCCACTGATATCTAAAGAACCACTCATTGGATTTTGATGAAACTTGGCACACAGATGTTCCAAACCAATGCGCAGATTTGATTAGTTTTGGGTAAAATCTGTGCAATATT